TGACTCGTAGTGGGGTCCTCAGGGGCTTCAGAAGAATCTGAAGCTGTTACACAAGCTGGGCATGGATGAAATTTCCCTCTGCACCGGAATCGATTTGGGTTGAAATGACAACAGAAGTCTCCTGCCAATAAATAATAACTTGCATGAGGAAAGACTTGGAAACCAACCACTTTGTGGGAATACTCACCACATGGAGACTACTCCACATGCTTTCCAGAGGTTGGCACCTGAGTTCTATGTGGATGGACCGGACAGTCAAGTAAAACGTGACCAGCACCACTATAGCAGAAGCATCCTCCATTTAAGCAACAAAGTCTCTCCTCTGGTGATATTCAAGATGCATCACATTGCATGGGTTCCTCTGGTTTGTTGGCTTCCTGAGGTATGCAGACTGCTATTTTAGCCCTTCTTTTACCACTGTGGTGTTCAAGCTCATGGAGAAGTTGGTCGAGACGAACAGCTAGGCTGATAAGTTGATCTAGAGTTGAATCATCGTCTCTATAAGCTAACTCAGTGAGTGTGTCTAGGTTCAGTCTTTGTCAAAACATTACCAGTAAAGCTGGTTTGTTCCTTCCACTACCAGCTGCCATGGTGCGGAATTCTAATGAGTAATCGCAAACGTAACAATTGTCTTGGCGAAGTGTTGTTAAGTTCACCATTCCCATTACGAGGATGATCCAAAACCATACAAAAATCCTTCAAAAGCTGTTTGTAAATTCAGCTCTGAGTCTTAGGCCACATAACGGTTGCCTAATCAAAAGCTTGGTCAGTTAGATGTGATATTACAAAAGATATTTTACTTCTATCAGAGCTCAGAGGTGAGGTATTAAATTAATTAAATTGAGCACTGAAGTACAACCCCATTTCCAAAAAAGTTGGGATGCTGTGCAAAATGTAAATAAAAACAAAATGCAACAATGTACAGATCATGTAAGCGCTATATTTGATTGAAAATAGTACACAGACAACATATCAAATGTTGAAACTGAGAATTGTTATTGTTTATTGAAAAATATTTGCCCATTTTGAATTTGATGCCAACATCACATTCTAAAAAAGTTGAGATGGGGCAACAAAAGGCTGGTAAAGTTATGTAAGTAAAGCTAAATAAAACCACCTGGTGGTTAATTGGCAACAGGTCAGTAACATGATTGGTTATAAAAAGAGCGTCCCAGAAAGAGTCTCTCAGAAGTAACGATGGGGAGGGGTTCACCACTCCGCAAAAGATAGCACAGTAAAATAGTGCAACAATTCACGAATAATGTTTCTCAATGTGAAACAGCAAAGAACTTTTGCTTTTCATCATCTATGGTACATAATATCATTAAAAGACTCAGAGAATCTGAGAATCTGAAGAAATATCTGTATGTAAGGGACAAGGCCAAAACTAGTATTTCCTGGCCATAATCTTTGGGCCCTCAGGCGGCACTGCATTAAAAACAGACATGATTCTGTAGAGGAAATCACTGCATGGGCTGAGAAACACTTCTGAAATACAGTTTGTTGCTTGAATCCACAAATGCAAGTTAAAACTCTAAAATGCAAAGAAGAAATCACACATAAACAGGGTCCAGAAACGCCATCACCTTCTCTGGGTCCAAGCTCATTTAAAATGGACTGAAGCAACGTGGAAAAGCCAACAAATCAACATATGAAATTCTTTTTGGAAATCATGGACACTGTGTCCTCTGGGCTAAAGACCACTCGGCTTGTTATCAGTGCACAGTTCAAAAGCCAGTATTTATGATGGTATAGGGGTGCATTAGTGCATATGGTGTGGGTGACGTGCACATCTGTGAAGGCACCATTAATGCTTAACTATATAAACATGTTTTGGCAATGTATGCTGCCATCCAGACAATGTCTTTTTCCTTGCATTCTATTTTTATTTATGTTCTGCACAGCGTCCCAACATTTTTGGTAATGGGGTTGTAAAAAAATGCGACATTTATCAGGGGTTCTGTCAAACTTGCTCAGGCTTACTAATTGAAGAGACAGAACTGGATGCATCTACAGGTGTAGAAACAGCAGCGACCTTCTCACTCTAAGCAGACATACCTTACACTTGTAGTTGGGATGTTATTTCTTTCATGTTGGCGATAAACTGAACCAGTTGTGCCTGTTGCTCTGTTTGCTGTTGTGTTAGAGCTTCTAGAGAGTGAGTAACGCCTGCCAAAACCTGTTGGTGCTGACCAAACAGATGGCCTTCTTTTCCAGAATGGCCTTCTGCAAAGCCTCATGGTCCGCTGTCTGCATTGATGGCAAGGTACTCTGTAAAGGAACAGAACCAGCCAGATGCTCGTAGGTAAAAACTAAGAAATGAGGCATTACTGAGAAAGGGCTTGACAATACTGGTAGTGAAAAGACAGGCAGGGTTCAAATCCAAAAAGGCCAAAATACAGAAAAAGACAAATATAACAAACAATATTAGGCAACAAAATCCCAAATGGCAGAGACAAAAAGGCAAAGTCAAAAAGACAAAAACACGGTCAAAAAGCACACAAGGCAAAATACAGAATCAAAGCAGGTGCAAGGGTACAGTGGCATATTGCTGCCAAGCAGAATAAAAACAAACCTTATGCATGTCAGTTTTATGAGATGTCATGTCATAATTATGAAAAACATCTTGTTATTACAAGAAAAGATGTTGTAAAAATGACGTTATATCTCATAATTATGAGATCATTTCTCATTATAATGAGAAGTCAAAGATGTAGTTTTTGTGAAATAAGTTACCAAATAAGCTACCAAACAGGTTAGATGCTGTTTTTGACTTGACTCAATGGCACAGTTGATTGAGTAAATGAAATTTTACTTCATGCTTGCCTTAAGTCACAGAGAAACCTTAGGCCCATTTCACACCAGTAGCTGTTGTTTAAAAGGAATAGTTTTATAGAAGAAGGTAAAAACACTTAACTTCTAGTATAAGTTGAGGTCTGAAGTTCCATGTTGTCTTTTTTTTGCAGGTCTGTTTTTGCAGGGGTTTGGAATGTTTAAATTAAGGGGGCCCCCTGGTCCAGAGGCCCCAGACGGAGTAGGTTTCTCCCTCTCTTAGTTCCAAATAGTTGAGATCATTTTAAAAAGAACCATATGTTCTCTTTTCTGTTTCAACAACAAGTCCAATATATAAGCTGTTGGTTATAGTGGTCTGGAGGGGACACTTAGAATTGGCACAGATCCTCTCTCAGGTACTTTATAGTGCTTGATTTGATACTGCTTTACCTTGTAATAAACATCTTTTACAAGCATGGCAGTGTCAGCGGAGTTCCTTCATCATCTTCACATCATCACCACTTAATAAACAACACTGTAACCAAGTTGCATGATGCTCCCACATTAATCAGTGCAGCCTTTCACACCTGCTGCTTACATGTGAAGCACGAAAATATGCTTTTATTGTGTTATTCCTACAGAGTATTTTCAACAGCACGGCAAAACCCGAAAGCCTGTGGTATCTTCATTAATTGATGGCTCCGTGCCTACACAGCTGCCTCTCAGCTCAAATCCCTGTGGATCTAAACCTTTCAATAAAAGCTTGATTGTTTTTCTTGCATGACAACAAACCCAACTTGTAGACATTTAAGAAGCTTCAGTTTGTAACCATGAAGCTTGCTGTGCTGTTCAAGATGCTGAGTTTGGAGTCACAACACTGTCGATCAAATTTTGCGTCTGTATAAATGCTGAGATTTGAGAAGCCTTCACAGTCTCCGAATACAAATGAAAATACAATCTGTGCTGATCAGTGGCACAAAATTTCACTGTGACTTAAGGCAAGCATAAAGTAAAAACTGATTAACTCAATTTAACTGTGCAATTGAGTCAAGTCAAATACAGCATATAGCCTATTTGGTAACCAACTAAAAAAATAGACAGAAAATTTGACATTTTTCTTACAATTACAGAATTTCATAATCATGCCATTTTTTAAACATATTTTCTTGTAATAACATGATAATTCCTTGTAATTACAAAATGCTTTTTCAGAATTATGACATAACATCTCGTAATAACGACATGCTGAAGGGTTTAGTTTCATTCTGCTTGGCAGCAATACGTTGCCGTACCAGGGCTCTAATTCACTTAGTATATGAGGTCTGGTTTTGCACATTAGTCACTCTATATAATGACTAGATAAGACCATGTAGAATAAAACTGTAATCATTACACAGGACTAGCCCCCAAAATTAACATTCAGCCAGGATGCCTTTGAGTAAGTGGAGTTCACCATCCAAACAAGCATTTTTCACAAGGCTTTTAACTTTAGACATTTTATTTCATTTTATTTAGTAGTAGCATTAGCAGCCACATTTAGGGTGGTAGTACAGGCGACTGGACTTGAGGTAACGTTATAATATTGCAAACATCTCAAAACATCCATGATTAAAAAGTACATAAAACATAACCTTAGATTTTAGCTGCTGTTGTTACGGGTTGCCAGAAACAATTATTTTGAAATTTTGTCAAAAAGTCGGCTGTCTCACGGGGAAATTTGGGAATGTACACTAGCTACCGTATAAAGCTACCCTCATTTCATTCAGCTGAGCTGAGAGCAGCTGCTGCTGTTACCTTAATCTAATGAGGTGCCAGAGCATATTTTGTGGTGTAAATGTTATGGGATGTATGTGTATATAAAAATTACCATTTGTTATTTGGCCACAGGTGCCCAAACTTTTGTACACAACTGTACACTCATATCTTTTGTGCTTTGTGAGCTGTCACCAGCCTCCTGACTGTAAATGTCTTCAACCAGTACTGAATATAGTTTTTATTGGTGTTTTAGACAATGAAAGACATGGTTCTTCATTCCAATCATGTTTTTTCAGGTATAGTGGGGCAGCACTTTAAGTCTGTGTGGTCTGTTGGAAACACAGCAAAATGCTTTATAGAGCAACAAACCATTTAACCATGTTTTACTATATTAACAATAAAGATCTTCAGTAAAGAATCCTTCAGTAAGCCTAAACATCACATTACAAATATAGCAATGAAGTAGAGGCACATTTGCAGTTTGCATGAAATCACTTTTTTAATTGTTGTGAAACATGTTAGACATTTCAAATTTTGCTGAATAAACAGGCAGATTCTGAGAACAAGTTTGATGTGATGATTGTTGGATATCAGTGTTCACAGATTTCCTAAACAAAAAGCCCACTCTACCCAAACAATGGCATCACTAGTCTAACATTGCTAACATTTAGATGTTGTTTCACAGAGATGTTCAGCTGGCAATATATTGGAAGAACAGAGTGCCTGTGCTCACGGAGCACTGTGCATTATAAGACCCACTTAACACTACGCCTGAACAGGCGCCCAGGGAGGTATTAGCTCCGCTAGAGTTTACTCTCCACACCACCGTCCTTATGGTTGATCCGGGGTAGCAGCTGGAGAAGCTTAACACTCTACTATAACTGGGGTTGACTGTGCCTCTAATGGTCTCGGTGTTGAGGGAATAGCCGTTGCAGGTCACCTGGACGTACGTGTTGACAGCGGTGCTTGGCAGGTTACTGGCCCGGATGCTCGACACACGGACAGCAGCATCACTTAACAACGCATGAGATGCCAGGACCAAGAAGGCGAGGTATATCAGACGAGGAGAGAAGGCCATGGTTTTGTCTGTGAAAAACAAGAGGATAAAATTAGATGAATCTTTAAAATCAAAAGTAATTTTTTCAAGTTGCAGTAAAGAATTGCCAGTTATTTCTCTTGTGAAAGAGCTCATTGTCTAAGGATCGAAAAGCAAAGAAGAAATACAGGAGCCTGCAATGAGAAGCCACCAAGATAGAAGTTAAGGCCTACATTTGAATCTGAAGGCTGGAGTTTTGGAGCTCTGGATGAATGGATGAGTTGCAGCTCTTGGTGAGCAGCTTAGCTCAGTCCCAATTTAAAGAAGATCTGTTCCCAAGCCAACCTTGAGCTTATCTACAGTTAACCTAGTCTGATGTATTTCAGCCAATAAGAATGGCTCTGGGTGAATTAGAGTAAATATGCACTAAAACTCAGATATGAAACTAGATATCTCCTGTATTCAGGAAAAGTGTCAATTTTCTTTTTATGGGAAATGGGGCATCTGTTGTATGGAAATACGTGCGGATTACAAATGGAACTCAGCCATCTGACTAACAAATCCAGTGTGTGCAATACTAACAGGCAGCATGTGTGCTGACCATGAAAACCGTGTCATTAGAGGGTTGGACATGCCTGAAACTTTGCCTTCATCTCCTGGGTTGTAAAGGTATCATGAAGCTTAATTACACTCAGAATGAGGAACAGAGCTGAAGATGATTCTAAAATAATTGAAAAGCTGTTTATCATCAAGAACGAGGTTCTAATAAAATAAAAAGGCACATTATAGACCCCATTTAAGACTTTTTTTATGATATACACTGTTGGGAGTGGGCTTTGCACTTGTATTGGTATATGCCTAATTGTAGTATATTATTTATCATTTAATAAGTTCTTGGTCTCAAAGTACTTGGAACGCTGAATAATTCATCTACAAACATGCTTTAGTGTCTGTTTAAGAATGTTTAAAGTTCCAGGGAACATTTTTAAAATATTAAAAATGTGTATGATAATAGAATTGAGTGCTGTATTAAATTTCCCATCATCTGGGTGTGACAGCCAACAGTGCAAGCCTTTCAGCCTGCTACACCATCCTCTAAAAACATTATCCAGCTTTTATACGTCTTGAGGAAGGTGAGGTTCTTATTGACTTTACTGGTGTAGCTGATGGACTAAAAGATGTTCTCGCTAGCTCAGTTATGTTTTCTAGGTTAGCTTTCGCTTGGTGGTTAGCTTTCTCACCAAATCAACACAGAGATTGTAGAGGAACACAGTTTCTTTAAGATGGGTCGGGGGAGGGGGTACACAATTTGATGCCTGCAACATACTCATAACATAAGTTGACACTTTTTAATCATTTGGGACCCGAGGATAGTAACTGTTGCAGTTTTGTTTCAGCAAGACAATGCCAGGCCTCATTCTGAATGAGCTATAGCAGCTTGGCTTTGTAGACCCAGAGTGCGTATGCTTGACTGACCTACCTGCAGTCCAGATCTGTCTCCTATTGAAGTGAATGGCACGTCATGACGATGAAAATTGGACAACGACAACAATACACTGTTGAGCAGCTGAAGATTTGTAACGAGCAAGAATGGGCAAAAATTCCACTTGCAAAACTGCAACAATTAGTATCCTCAGTTCCCAAATGATTAAAAAGTGTAATTGAAAGGAAAGGTGGTGTAACACAGTGGTAAACATGCCTCTGTCCCAACTTTTGAGTGTGTTACAGGCATCAAATTCTATATTTATTTATATTTGCAAAATACAAAGTCATTACTTTGCACTTTTGTCAGTTAAATGAAGGTTCAAGAGAATTAACAAATCTTAGGCAATAAATCTTAGGAATTAACATTTTAGGCAATGTCCCAATGTCTGGAAATGGGGGTTGTAGTACGTGCTGCCATGTATCCATAAAGTGTAATTGGCCACGTTGCAAGAATTTATTTAACATTGATGAGAGCTGTAGCATCTGGTGGACTGAGAGAAGAAACACATGGTAGTCCAACGCAAAGGTAAAGCAGGCTTCTTCCTCATGGTCAAATAATAAATAGTACTAATAGGACAAATAGTACTAATATTACTATTATTAATACTAATACTAATGATAGAAATGTATTAATAGAAAGATATAATAAAGCAAGCCCGAGATTAAAGGTTAAAACGATTATAAAATTAAATAAAAAACGTAAATATAACACACTGGCCCATATCCATCAAAATCTAATCATAAAATGCACATGCAAGTGTACATTGTACAGTCAACCTCACGTGTGATAGGACTGTGTGTAACTTTGAGCATAATAGTTTAACAACCTGAAAGAAATGGTAATTTTGCAGTTATTATAAATAACAAGAATAAAAATAGAAAATACCAATAATACTAATAAGTTTTGCATGTGGCAAAACAGTGCAAACGTAGATGTACTTATTTTACATGCACATTGGTATAAACAAATGCTGCAACTATTCCATATTCCATTTAAAGACACATTACACTGTGCTTTTGTTTTATACTACAGACTCCTCCCACAAAATAAACCATACAAAACACAGTTATTGCAGAAGCTGCAATAATACAGCATTTAAATACAACTGTTTGGATGCAGTGTAAAATATTAATAAAAACAGAATGCAATGATGTGCAAATCAATTCAATCTTCTATTTTATTGGCAATACTACAAAGACAACATATCAAATGTGGAAACTGAGAAATTTTATTGTTTTTTCAAAAATATATGCCCATTTTTAATTTGATGGCAGCAACACATTCCAAAAAAGTTGGGACGGGGGCAACAAAAGGCTGGTAAAATGTAATGCTAAAAAAACACCTGGTGGTTAAATGGCAACAGGTCAATAACATGACTGGGTATAAAAAGTACTTCCCAGAGAGGCTGAGTCTTTCAGAAGTAAAGATGAAGAGGGGTTCACCACTCTGTGAAAGACTGCATGATCAAATAGTGCAACAATTCAAGAATAATGTTTCTAAACATAAAATAGCAAAGAACTTTTGCTTTTCATCATCTATGGTACATAGATGGCATACCATGGCTTGACTTCGGGTCAGGGCAGTTGCCCAGTGCATTGCCCAACACGACATTCACCCCAAGGCCACACAGGCAACCGGCAGCATTGCTGAGCATCATGTGAGACGTCGACACCTGGATGATAAGTTATATCAGATGGAAAAAAACACCATGATTTTGTCTGAGAAGATTAAAGGTGTTGATGTGGAACTTATTTGATGACTATGAGAAATCAATGAAATGAAAAAATATAGAGATAGTACAGTATGTTTGACAAAGGAAGAAGAAAGAAGGTAAGCTAAAAATGTTGCTGATGGAGAACAACAGATGGAGAATGTGTTGTTTTGGAGGTTTAGGATGCCTTGCTTTGTGTTATATATCTCCACAACAGAAAAAACCCTTAAAAATCTAAAATAAAAAACAAACAAATGAACTACATTCTGCTTAGCTGAGCTAAACATCCAATCTATATGCCAAACATGACCTTAGCTGACCCAGTCTCTGTATTTTGAAAAGTAGGAACTGTTTTGGATGGAACAAGGTAGATCCTTTTTACATACCAAAAACAGTCATAATTCATTTTTACATGACCAGTTTTCAATTAAAAAAAGTAAGTAAACTTTTTCAAACAGACTGTTTTGGTCACTGTGTTTTTACGACTAATATATGTAAACGACCTCAACACTCCTTCAGCCTGAGTGGACAGGGCTAATCTGCTGTAGCACAGAGGTAAATGAGGTTATGGATAAAACTCAGATAAAACACAGACAGAATTGTCAAACAGGGTTGTTTTTTTTTTAATTTGGCCATGAACAAACAGCAACAGCCTTGCCCTCCTTTTTCTGCACGTAACAGAGCGAGAAGAATGTGGTTCTCCTTTCTCTTGAGTCTGGAACCCATAGACATTCTTGATCTGGCCACCTGCTGTGAATGTATTTTCTTCATCAGGGACAGAATTCTTGTCTTCCACCACAGTTGTTTGCCGTGGTCTTCTGGGCCTTTTGGTGTTTCTGATCTCACTGGCGTTCTTTCTTTTTAAGAATGTGCCAAATATTTGATTTGGCCATACTCAATGCTGTTAAGTAATGTTATTATTTCTCTGATGGGTTCAGTTAAATTTTTCAGCCTGCTCCACTGGAAATGGAACCCTTTAAACTTCAGTTTGAGAGTTAACAGCAACAGATTTCAAATGCAAATGCCACATTTCACATCAACTAGAATTTGCTTACTTGTAAGAGAAATAATGAGAGGATAACACACACCTGGCCATGGAACAGTTGAGTAGCCCATTGTCCAGTTACTTTTGAGCTCCTAAACATGGGGGCCTATGGTATGAGAATGGCTGTAATTGCTACACCACCCAATTTGGATGGAATTACCCTCAAAGTAAAGCTAAAAATGTGCACCTTAAAATCATATTTAATTTCAACTCTGATATGCTTTAGCAACAGTGGTCAACACATGGTCTTAGTTAGGGTTGAGGAGCTTTGAAAAGAAGTGAAAGATTTTTGTAAATGATTTTTTTTTCACCATTTTCTTCTGTTGGATTTGAGCTGACCGGGACTAAATTTGGCGTAGGTCTCCCGTTTAGAGCTAGCAATATGTATACATCAGCTACTCTTGTTCTTCTCCCTCCCATAAAGTGACTGATCTTCCACTGCTCTGAGTCCCAGACAAAACTCCTAGCAAGTAGGTTATTTAAGCTTTTTCAAATTTGTTTCTAAAACACTTTACAATACCGTTTCCTAGTTAATAAGTAACTAATCAGGATCTAAGCAGGGACCAATGAGTAGTGCTACATTAACACTTAAGTAACTACTATTAACTACCAAGGAGTCAAGTCAAGTCAAAGTTTATTTATATTGTGCTTTTTACAACAGTTGTTGTCGAAAATGCTTCTTTACAGAAAAATCCTGGTCAAAGCCTCCATTCACCTGCTTCTTGTTTGAATTGTCCTGCTGCACCATTTAAGGTGGAACGGGAAGATTCCAATGAAAATCTGGAGAATGAGAAGCTGACTTCAGCTTCACAACTTGTTGCAGATTAAACGTATGAGGAAACCAGCTGAGTGCTTATAAATGCAGACAAGTCCATTCATCTCCAAATTATCGATGTTCGTCTTAAATCTTTCTCTTTGCCATTTTGTTATCTGTGTTGCTGCGTGTCCAGCTGTCTGCGCTTCGGTGTTGCGCGTTAAAGGTTGGTAAATTATGAGTTATGCGTTAACTCCAGCATTTAAGACCATTTATTGTGAAAACCGTGTTAGAACTGTGTGTTATAATGATTTTACAGTAAAGGAGGATTATGTTATTTTACCTAAAAATCTAGTTCTGCTGTGGATCCGCAGCAGCTCTGCAGCAGCGGAGAGAT